CGCTCTGTGCTTGGAGGTTGGGAACTGGAAGCCGCTGCGGAGTCGAACGCCGAGGAGGTTTCTGTGTGAGGGGAAGCTGCTTGTTGGGGAGAGGAAAGGTTTGGAGTCACACCGGAAGAATGTATATGTCGTGAATACGTAATCCATAGCGCATAGACTAGCTCGGTGACTGCAACGGTGTCGTGGTGCTCTGATTCAGCGTCATTATGACTGTCAGAATTCTCTTCCCGCAGCTTGTCATCCCGTGGCTTGGGGAAGATGGTACCGCTTTTGACTACCCGCAGCTGAACGTCCACCGCGATGGTTGAGCCGTCTCGATGGTTGGCAGCAAGTCCAGTAGGCTCTAAGAAGACAGAAGCCACGTTCGCCTTCCCATCCCGGAGAATAGAAAGCGTGCGTGCTCTTCGAAAGCTAGGCTCAGGGATCACGACGCCATCCACAAGGGGTACTTGCTCCTCCTCCGTCAGTACATCGAGAAGCTCGTCAAACCCGGGAATCAATTCGTTTATGTGAAGACCCTCCGGTCGCTCCTGGCCAAACAGCGCGGAGGAAAACACTGAATTTGAGCTGATGACCTTTAACGTTGACGATGCTAAAACCATCATCCCAGCAACGTGCGGGAAACTCGATATTCGCAGACAACCCCGGCCTTCATCCTTGGCCACGGTAGCTGGGAAACACGTGCCAGTCGCAGTCTGGGCAGCGAAATGTTTCATGTCGGAAATCCTCTTCAGGCCCTCGTCAATCGGACCTTGAAGACATTCTTTGGGAATACGAGGAAGAAGTTCCGTAACTGGCCTGCCGGGCTTGACCACGCCATGGCCCCAGATTTTGTCTGTATCTCCGTTCACATCGGTGATCGTCCATGACTCATCACAGCGAACATAGGCGACATCCTCTTGAATCTCCTCAAGGACCCAGATGAGCCCTCCTCGTTTCTCCATTACCCAGACACTCGCAGATCCTTTGGCCCCGTCGCGCTTGAGGATAGGTACGACATCGCCGCACAGCAAAACGCCACGAGATTTGGTGGCAACGTGGTTCAAGTGCCGCGTAGGACGTGTGCTAGAGCCGTAGCCGTCGTCCGTTTGAGCTCGCCGGGTTCGAGAAGGCGGTTTACTGAGAAGTTGAGCCGTGACCCCGTTCCCCATTCCCATGGACCTTGTATTTACCGGCTTGTTACGGTGTCGATCTTGCGAGGACTGAAGCTTCGCTGCGACATCAGTGGACGGGTCTCTCAGCTTGGACTCCAACCATTCTCTCCGATCCTTCTGTACAACTTCTAGGATACTGAGTTTGCGGAGTTCCGCTTGTGTGACACCAAATATGAGACATGACAGGTCATTGGCTGCCAGAATGGTCCATGGTGCTTTGGACTCGGTTCTAAAGACGGCCTGTGAGACGGGGTTCCATTTGCTGCTGTGGGTGTGTAAGGCGGGAACCGGTAAGCCAAACCCGAAGATCGAGGGGCTGGTTGGTGAAAAAGAATCCGTGGCAGAGTAAGGATGTGCTAGAGAACCCATCAGCTTGCTCTGGTCGAAATCAGCGCCGATTTCAGTGTCCGTACGTTTTAAGCTTACGCGCCTGGATGAGGGAGTGGACCGTCTCCCTCTTCTCGGTTGCGATATTTGCTCATTCGGCAGCTCACCCAGAGAATCCGAGTGCTCCATCCACGGGCTCTGGTCCCGAGAAAATTCATTGGTTCCGATTGCAGAACGCTGCGAGTCCATGAAAGCTCGCTCAAAGAGATCTCCGCCTGCCACATCGGCGGGTCCTGTCATAGGGCCCCGTGCCAAATTCCGAAATTGGACATGGTCCTCTTTCTCCGAGAAACTCGTCTTGGACAAGAGATCCACCAAGCTTTGAGCTTCCTTGTCACTCCCAAAGCGAGACGGTGCATGGGCACTGCCGGCGTTGCCCGAAGCCCATCCGAAGCGATCGCGCATAAACTCCATTGATCTTTTCAAGATAGTCTGGCGGTTGTGAAGTAGTTCCTCGGACTGCTGGGCGAACGAAAACGAATGCAGGGACTCGCAGGGAAATCGGTGGAGGTCTTCCAGTGTACCATTTCCGTGGCTTGGCGGGAAACGTGTAGAGTGGGTTCTGGAGGTCGATCTAGAACGTGGTGAGGGCGAAGGGTTTCGAGGGGTGAGAGGTCCAAGAGAGGAGGTGGATAGGTTCGGCAACGTCAATACTCGCGAAGGGGGCTGGCGTATACGATCTAAACCGGATGGGCCGATTCCATGTTCCTGTTCAATCAAGGAGGATCTGCAACACAACAAAGATTTGGTCTCAGTATCTCCATTCATCATCAAGTCACGCAATCGGAACAGTTTCTGGTATTTATACATACCTTGACAGATGATCGTACCCAGACGACATCGTTTCCATTGAGCGTTTCATCGAATCATCTGTGTTTCCAGAAAAATTCCCCATGTAGGATTCCGACGTGGGCGATTCTGACAGAGGTCCCACCGGGGACGAGAGAGGACTTGGTTCGCCTGTTTGCCGAAGAAACTATTAGTTTGGTTTCTTCTTGCAGATTCATTTTTCCCTCACTCAACGTTGGCCGAGGCAGTATGCAGTATAGAGCGATTGCAGCTTGTCGGAGACGCCCAAGCAACAAGGTAAGATTCGCGAACGTGTCACCCAGTTTGGATTTAACAACCGATTCCAGATCGCATTGTTCAGTGACGTTGCTCCAATGATTTCCTTGGTCGAGCATTGATATGAATCTCACCACCAGCGAGCGTCTTGTACCATCCCGGCGACATCACCCCTCACGACACAACTGCAGCGACAAGCATGCCATGGGAAACAAAACGAAAGAATAAGGGGAAAGAAAAGCGCACGACTAACCATCGGGATGATATGAAGCAGACCCCATATTTCCCCCAACAGGCGACAATGCAGCGTCCGATACCGATCGGACCGATCAAGAGTCGCAAGGTCCAAACGGCGCAATTTCACGGGAAATCCAAGAAGCGTAGGGAAGGAAAATGGTGATTCTATTTCTACATGAGACGACGGAGCACGTTGCCCGCGAAGGAAAAGACCCTGGTAAGACCAGCAAGATTTGTGCTTTGTCTCTGCCTCTGTTTTTCCTTTTCTCTGCTTCTGCTTGGTCGCGTATGGGATGCCGATTGTAGGTGTTACTGCGATCAGAAAAACAAAAGTGAGAAGGGAAAAATAATTTCAAATCAATTCCGTTTCTTTTTCTTTTTCTTTTTTTTTTGTCAGTTAAAGAAACGAAAGGTGAGACAGTCAGCCGCTTAAAGAAAATGAGTCCGTTGAAGGTCAGCGGACAGCGGGCGGAGGGCAGGTGTGCCTGGTGAGGTCACAGGTACCATGAGGTGGGTAAGTAGCACGGGGGAAGAGGCTGTCTGAGGGTCGGAAATTTCAAGACAGTGAGGTTTATTTAAACAGGGAACGATGGTGGGTGGTGTGGTCTGGTGGAAGAGATCCCAGTAGGGAGGATTGGCGGGGTGGTTGAAAACTGCACCGGGTTTTTGGGAGGCGCAAAATGAAGGGACGAAGGAGAGAAAAGTCGAATCAAAAAGTGGTAGTGAGGGGGGCAGTGACCGCGTTGTGGTGGAGAAGGGAATGAATGAATGAATGGAGATGAGTGCTGCTAGTGGCTTTTTTTTTTTCTCTGCTGTTGATTTGCAGCTTCTTCCCTCTTTCCGTCCCCTGTTTCCTATACAAACATGCAAAAAAGGAAAACAAAAAGAAACGATCATCCAAATTCCAAAGGAAAGACTGGGATGAAGGAAGTTGGGTAGGAAAACGAGAAGAAGGAGTAAGAGAAGAGAGAGGAGAGAGAGCCGAGCAGGTGAAAGGCAAAGGAAGCACGAGACGGTCGGGAAGGAGGGAAAAAAAAAAAAAGAGGCAACAGAAAGAGGAACCGTACGGACTAAATTCTAACGAGATGAATAGTACAGGGTACTAATCATGATAATATTAAGATGCAAATCACCGCAAAAACATTAGAAATGCTCGAAATGAAGAGATCCCAATAACTAATGATTGCTAGACTGGCTGAATAAGACCATCCCCATAACTAACTACGTAGTTACCGGCCTAACACAAAAAAAATAGATTAAATTAAATAGTATTAGGAATGACAAGAAAAAGGGTGGTGATGTAATAAGGCCGAGCTGCAATACAACCACAGTCCACTTATTATTGCCCGCCCACTGAATCCCTTCCCTCTGACTGATTCACCCATGTTTCGCCTCATTCGCCGAAAACATGCATGTATGTTATGTATGCCATCCCTTCTCAGACTCCGATCCCTTTCCCTCTTGGTCCGTTCGATCCCTACCGCCTAAAGTCCCATGGGTCGACGCTGGGGTTTTCCTTGTCTTGGCGGTCCAGGCAAGCCACTTTCCGCCGGAGATCTTTAGTCTTGAGGGTCGATTCGGGCGCGCCATGGGAAAGTAACCACGGCCTTTCGTCCCAAGGTTGGCGATCACCGGTGTAGATCAACCCCTCGTGCGCGCTCTCGTTCTCATCGTGGTGATGATCTCGTTGTCAACTTGTCATGTCGAGGTGGGACATGCTACTACGCTAGGCGGGCAGCTGACAGTGATCGCAATCTGATCCTTCCGTCATACATAGGTCAATGGCTTACTCTTTGACCGTCCAGGGTGAAAAGCTTAGCACGTCGGATATAGATGGTGGCTCTAATGGCTTCCGTCTGCAGTTACATTGGTACCTACTCGCCATATAGACACGTCACTCATCGAAAAGAGGGGAACTAGATATAAAATGGGTTGGGGAAAAAATAAAAGAATAAAGAAAAATAACATAAAGACAGCAATTAGTAGATCTGACCGCTAAGTCTACTCTCTATTCATAACGACGTGAGTACTCTCGCTTTCTAGAGAAAAAGATGCGTATGCGAACGCGGGTATATCAGGATGAAAGGGGTCGCGAATGGACGGCACATGAGGATGCGCGACAAGAGGAAAGAGTAACAAGAAATATGGACCCTCCTTCTATTCTCCACCTTTCGGCCCCCGGAGACTCCTCAATGCCAATCCGTCAAGATCGGCATCGGTTCTTCTCAGCTCGTCGTCTCCGTTGCCGAAGAGATTGTTCGGTTTGCCTTTCGTCTCGCCGTACCGAGTTTGCTCGGGCGGCACGGATGCCGGACTCACAAAGCTGGAGAGATGCCGGTTACCACCCAACATCCAGGAGAACTCGGAATCCGCAAGTGAGGGACGTGTTGCGTGTCGCAATGGCATCGAAGAAGAGACATGAGGGCGACTACGGCCCTTGAAGTTATTCCCGACGGGCGAAGTGGGTGATTTGGCAAGTGGCTCGGCGGCAACCGCGGGAGACTGGCTGTTGCTACTTCGTGTCTCATCTTCCGGTTTACCTCCTCCAGGTTGAAGTACGGCTGATATCTTGTCCGAGTCCGTATCTGCAGCTGCATTGGGAGTTCGACCCCCGGAGGCCAAAGGACTGGAAGGGTTCTCGAGACAGGTCTGAACCGATTGCACTTTGGTGAGAGCTTGTTTCACGGTATCGGCAGTGGCCGTATCAAGTCCTTCGGCTTTCATCATTCGCGACCGTATGTCATTCAATGCTTGGCTAAGGGTCTTTGCTAGCATTTGATTCCGCGCCTCCAAGGCGTCGATTTTGGTCTTCAGATGAACGACGGCGACTGAATCATGGGTGTATGACCCACCCGGGGTGTGAACAGAAGCATCATCGTATCTTTGACGAGAATAGTGCTCTGCTTGGATCGTCTGCAAGTTCTTTTTGGCTTCACTCACGGCTCCTCGGACAGCCTTGGCAACGCCCCATGTTTCCGTGCGGCGTTGAATACCCTCCGAAACATCTTGGAACAATGCCTCCAAACCCTTAGAACTATCTCTTGCGGGGGACCTAGAAGGAGAGCTTCCCTCACTCGTGTCCCATAGGTCGCCGCGAAGGTGAGACTTGATTCCTGAGAAGGATCGGGCATGCGATTGACCGAGCCGCTTGGAAGCGTCTGGCGGTTTTCCTGAATATTTGGAGATAATAAAAGCCCCCCTGTCCGGTGTGGGGTTCTGCTCTAGATAGACAGCATCGCGCACAAAGCTCTGTGGTTCATGTGGGTGAGGAGAGGGGTAGCGGAGCAATACGGTGAAAGCCGTCGAGGAATCGGCGCTGAGTACTGGAGTTTTGGTCAGCGTTGGCATCTCTTTTAGACAGACCTCAGTAACTAACATTGCCAACGAATACGCAGCAGCATCGCAACACATACGAAATCGATGAGTTCCGGCCGCAACCCTTCGGAAAAGAGGACATCCCAAACTACCAGTACGTCTTGGAATGGAAACTCGCGACCGAACAACAAACGCAGCCAGCGACTATTTTCGAAGTTTACCTCGTTAGGTGGGATATAGGGGGCGTTATTTCGTGGGCAGGAACTCACGTGAGGAATATCTGCGGCAAGATCTCCAGCGCCTGTAGATGGTCGGCCAATTCTAGATCTGTAGTCATCAGGAGTTCGTTGTGGATATGGTGGCATTGGTTCACGATCGGCACAACATCCATCTGGCCGTTCGCGGATCGGTGTCGATTGTGCTCATAATATGACCGAGTACTTTGCATGACTGAGCAGAACAGTGTAAACGAGTCGTGTTCTACATACTCCGAACTCAGAAGTTGCAACAGGAAGTCGTCGTCTTCCCCCGGCGAGCTTGTGCCTTCAAATGACTTTGCCTCGACGGCATCTTTGTCGAGCACCCACAGAATAGGTGCCAATAGCTCATGCATGCCTTGGCGGTATCCAAGATCGGGATTAAGCTTGGAATAAATAAAGAGAATATCGATCATTTTCTCTTTCGTAGCAGGTTCCCGAAAGAAAAAGTTCTCTTGCAAGCACCTATCGACATCCTGCGCTATATCTGCCCGCATCTGTTCGTCGCGTCGGAGTGTCTGCCAAGGGGACTTTGCGGAGAGGCCGTCAGAAGTTGATTCGATCCCATCAAAACCATAGAAAGCACACGAGGCATACCTCTTCGTCATCCGCCAGAGGATCCACCGTCGACTCCAAATCGTCGGGGTGGTTTATGTATTTCAAGAAATGGGCCTTCAAGGCATCGTAGGCGCCCCGCGATTCGGAGATCTTCTGCGGCCATTGTGTGCGATCGAGGTTGTCGAAGAGCAGGAATGCCTGCGCTCAGGTAAGCGGATAGCCAGGTGAGAATGGCTGCAAAACGCATGCCTTCCAACAAATCGATCTAAGTCCATCGTTGCATAGTCCGTCCCCTTGTTCGGATCTGAATGCTGCTCGGAGGTCGGAGGGGGTGTGATTGTCGCGAAACAGGGAGTTCCATCGCTGCCTTGAGAAAACTAGTTAGTAAAGAGCACACCGACCGGGTTCAAACCAAGTATACTTACCTAGTATCTTCAATGCCCCTCATCTCACCATGTGATATCTGGTTGCCTGGCCTCCAAGGGGTTGAGTGGTGGAGAAGTCAGGAAAGACGAAGGCCAAGTATTATGACGAGGCGGAGATCAACCGCGGCTACGGAGACCCGCCACAACGGAGACAGTCGTCCGCCAGATTGTCGATAACCAACTTGATCAGACCCCTCTTTCTTGATCGGTCAGGTCTACGGAATACGTCTCGCCGGACAATTACCTATCACAATCGCTACGGTCTGTGCTCCATTGCAGTGGACGTGAAAGTATCCGGGCTGTCTGGCAGGCCCACAGCGACCCGGTCAAGTCCAACCCAAGCCGCGAAATCCTTGTGATACTGCGAATTCTAATCTTCTTGCGGTCCAAATGTCCGCCGACTTGTTTGCAGAATTTGGAGCCGGGACTTCTTCCGGCCAAATCACCGGCAATCAGGCAACATCTCGGTCTCAGACAAACCCCCTAATTCCCAATCTAGAGTCTTTTTCAGATACTGCGTTCCCTGATGCATCGCACCACGTGAATCGGCCGGTGTCTCATGCCGCTCAGGCTCGAACATTACCAAAGCAACAGACTGCTTTTCACCAGCCGAATTTTCCTCAATTGCCACAGTATGATAACGGGGGCGATGTTCTTTTCGATGCCACTCTAGAAACGGTCTCCAATGATGATAGCGAGGACTGGGGCGAATTTGAGTCCGCTGATAAAGCCCCTGCTCCGCCTGTTCCAACAGAGCCAGTCCGAAGACAAGCGGCCGGAGTGAACCCAGCAATTCACGCTTCTCAACGAACCAAAACCAGGACGACTGCGCCGCCGAAGCAGCTGGACTTACTGGACTCTCTTACCCTTGAGGATAATCCACCAGCAGTTTACCAGCAGCCTAGGAGTGCCACAGGCCAAGATAAGGCTAAACCCCAGACTAAGAAGGTGGTGCCGATAAAGCCTTCTGCTCCTGCAGAGGAAGAAGAGCCCTTTGAAGAATGGGGGGACTTCATCGACGGGCCCTCTACAGAAAGCCCGGCAAAGACCACTCCACGAGTTGATACCACAAGGCCGACAGGCAACTCAAATTCCACGAGTACGCAAAAAACCAGTTCTCAATTCTCCGACGTATCAAACCAATCCGTACATCCAAGCGCAGTCCGCCCAACTAATATTCCTCCTCCGTCTGTTCTACTTGAGTTGTTTCCTCAACTTTTTGAGCAATTGCGACAGGACGCAACCCATGCAAGGCGAAATTTACAGCAGAAAAAGAGTGTTGACGTCGTGGCATCGTCGATTCTGTGTGTCTTGAAAGCAGTGGCACGTGTAGTTTCGGGTCGGACCTTGCGATGGAAGAGGGATTCTATCTTGAGCCAGAGCATGAGGATTGGCCCTGCACGCTCCGGGAAGCCGGGAGGGATGAAACTCAACACGGTCAACAAGAACGAAGATATCAAGGAGAAACAAGAGGCCGTTGACGTGATCGTGATGTGGCGAGACCGAGCAGCTCTTTTCAATTCCATCATCCAGGCTTCCGGGAGACGCCCCATTCAGGCTGTCCCCGAGAACATTCGAGCCACGACCGCCACTGCAGAACAAGGGGCTCTCAAGGCGTCTCATGCTTGCGCTCTCTGCGGACTGAAACGAGACGAACGACTCCCTAAAGTCGACGAGGCGGTGGAAGATAGTTTCGGAGAGTGGTGGACCGACCACTGGGGCCATACAGACTGCAGGCAGTTTTGGGAGACCCATAAAGACATGTTGAATCAGCGATGAATTTAATTCTACTCCGTACTGGCGGGTCTTTTTCTGCATTATGACCTATCATAGTACCTCTGATGTAACTATACTAAGCGGTAGTACATACTGAGTACATACATACAGACCCATACTTGATGGTACGAGAAATGCGGGCAAAGCACTTAGGATGACTGGGTATTCGATGGTATTAGCATGGAAGCAAAAGCTTTGGGGCAGTCATCTGATAGGATGTCTTAATTTTTGACCGATCACGCGTAGAATAAGTAGGTACCGCGATGGAAGACCATCTGACTAACAGGAACGGCGTAACTAACTAGTTACCGCCTACGGGGGGATAACATGATGCGAGCGGACGGTATTATTGATGCGGGGGTTTCACCTTCTGCCCGATCCAGCCTTTCCCATTGTTCCCGCTGTTTGCCTTATCTCTCTACCAGTCTGCCTCCCTTCAACCGGAATCCTCTGGATCAATAATCAATCTCTCCTAATTTAGATCTCACTGCGCCCTGCTCTCTCTGCTCCCTCCTTGGCAGCTGCACATCCCACTTATCCCTGCTCGTTGTCCCGCCTGCTGCTACCTAAACTCCCGGGAATATTCCTCCGTACTTGGATCCTATCTACTTCACCTTAAATCCTAGGCTTGCTTAGCCTTAGCCTCCATCACCGTCACAGCAGCAGCATAAATACCAGAGACCCCACCAGTTAATCAATCCCCTTGGCGTTGACTTCCAAACCCAACTCTCCGGTGTCATCACAGCTCTTGGACTTGCGGTCAAATCGGGCCCCCTCCCCTTTCGAGCAAAACCAATCTCAGGCGAGAAGGAACTTCCAGAAGAAGAAACCCACTTTTCTTGTTCTTTTCCCCTCTGCCACATAAACCTTTGGATCGATTCCACGATCACCTGCTCCTACCTTGGACTTGTTCGAGCTCACATACCAGGGCGTACCCTCAACGGGCGGCAGCGGGAAGAACGCCGAGGAAAGATCATAATGGGTCTTGCATACAACGTGTACCTCACCTCCAACAAAATCTTCGGATGCAAGCAGTGCAAAACGCACCTTGCTGACTACGATGATATCATCAGTCGGGTGAGTCCCCCCTCTCGTCGTTTGCTTGCTTGCCTGCTCCTGTTATTGATGAGTATTGGCTAACCGTGATACCTTGGTTTCTCGCAGAACTTCCGTGGCCAACATGGCAAAGCATACCTTTTCAATAACGTCGTGAACATAACGCAGTCTGAGGCTGTCGAGCGTAGCATGACGACCGGTCGGCATATTGTGCGGGACATCGCCTGTCGGCAGTGCAGAGAAACGGTAGGATGGAAATACGACAAGGCGTACGAGGCCAGCGAGAAATACAAGGAGGGCAAGTTCATCCTGGAAGAAGAACTGCTCTGCGTGGTGTGCTAGAAGGGGTTCTTTCTTCGTCTCTGCGAAAACATCTTGCTTTTGCGAGGCTACCGAGCAAGGTGCCACGGCGAATCCTTGCAAAGACTGATTCATACAGTGAGCGTTTTTAAGGAGTAAGGCAAAAGGCGTTACATGGCGTACCTACAAATTCTACATGACTGGTTTTATGGAGTTTGAATTTGTTCTCTCACGCCCGAGCATCCGTCTGCTTTCTTTTACTGGCTTGGATCTCCATGTCTATCTGAAGACGTGGATTATCTCCCCTGATTTACGGATAGTTCCTGGAAGGTCGCCAGTTATCGCGTCGACTTTGGGTTAGAATGATAGTCGTTATCACAATCTAGCATTTACTCCTCTCGAATACAGATACATATATATTCGTAGAAGCTTGGAACTTGAAGATTAGACTGAATAATATCCGTGGAACGGTGAAAGAGTCTAGAACTGACGCCCCTTCGATCCCTGGCATTGAATCGAGATCATCATCTGCAACGAGCGGCCCCACCGCCATCAAGGGAACTCGGCCTTGCATAATCCGCCGCCGACCCCTCCGCACTGCTCCAGTTTGCGCTAATTAAGGCTGAACACTTCATCGACTCAATCGCTTGATCCAGCCGATTTTCCTGCCCATAGACATTCAAGAATTCATCCAATTGATCTCAATATGGCCGCTGACACGATGCGCGCCGTGGTATTCCGCGGCCCTCTCAAGGTCGCCGTGGAGGAACGGCCAATCCCCAAAATCCAAGAAGCGGGGGATATTGTTGTGAAAGTGACGTATACCGCGCTGTGTGGGAGGTAAGCAACGTGTGTATTTTCAATCTCTCCGGGCAATCGCGTATGGTTGTTTAGTCCTGGTCTCGTTCTGTATATGCTCTATTGTCGTTGAGACCCGGTTGCTGACGGGATTAATGCCAGTGACCTTCATACGTTCCGCGGGGTAGAGCCTACGAACGAGGGTGTCATCATGGGCCATGAGGTGACCGGTGAGGTTGTCGAGACTGGCGAGGGGGTCAAGTCGGTTCAGAAGGGTGACGTGGTTGTCAGCGCCTTTACGACATCTTGGTAGGTACATGCTATGCTTTCATTGTGGGAACAGGGCAGTCAAATTCTTTCTATGAGACTCGATACTAACCCCAGCACAGTGGCCAGTGCTTCTACTGCAAGCAAGGCTTCTCATCGAGATGCGACAAGAACACTCTCCTTGGATGTGACCATCTAGATGGCGCACAGGCTCAATATGTAAGACATCTCGAACTTGGCGCATTCATTCCTGCGATGTACAGCATTTCTCATTCCGAGTGAATCATCTCTTGACGATCAGATCCGCATCCCCCACGCAGACGGAACGGTCATGAAGGCCCCTGAGGGTGTCGACGAGAAATACCTCGTGCTCATGGCCGACATCTTCCCAACGGGATGGTTTGCTACCAACAACGCCTTCAAAGGATGCACTCCGGAGCAAATCTCCGAGCAGACGGTCGTGCTCATCGGCTGCGGACCCGTCGGGCTCTGTGCGCTGATCAATGCGCTGGAGTACAAGCCCAAGCACCTTCTTGCGGTCGACTCGGTCCCGTCGAGACTTGAGCTGGCACGGTCCTTGGGCGCTGAGCCGTGGAATTTCAAAGAAGACCGCACCGGTCTGGATAAGCGGATTCAAGAGCTGACCGACGGACGCGGTGCGGATGCCGTCATTGAGGTTGTTGGACTTAGTCCGGCGTTGCGAACCGCGTTTGATCTGCTGCGTCCGTGGGGTACGATTAGCAGCGTGGGAGTACACAATGCAGAGGTTAGTGGTGTTTCCTTCCCTCTTTGTTTTCCGTTTTACATTTTCTATTTTCTTCTTTCGATTCTCGTTCTTCTTTTCCTCATTGGCTGCCCTCTTCCTCGAGTGCGTGGAGTGTTTTCGCCACCAACACTACGGTCCCTACTATCAGATACATGACACTGACCGAGTTGACCACAGATCCCCTGGGATGGAAATGAGGCCTATGGCAAGAACTTGAGAGTGCAGATGGGTCGCTGCCCGGTGCGATCGGTTTCGCCACAGGCATTGGAGGTGCTGAAGAAGAATCAGCATCTGCTCGGGTATGTCTTACGTTTTCTTTCACGGATCCCGTCTTTGTGTCCTCGGTGACTAAACGAAGTAGGTTTATGGCCGAGAAAATCATGCCTCTTTCACAGGCCGTCGAGGCATACGATCTTTTCAACGCCATGAAGGTGCAGAAGGTGATTTTCGAGGCGGATAAATGAGGGTTTATGATGGTGGAACGGGGCGGCGTTTGATCAGAAATATTGGAGTATGTGGGAGTCGGTGCATAGTCGGCATTGGGTGCATGGCAGAAGGATGGGCAGCATCATGAGAAAGATAACTGTGAATATGAATAGACAGGACATAAAGTAGACAGTTCAGAGGACAAGACTCAATACCAGGAATCCTCCGACGATACGGCGCCAATACCTACAGGTACACTCCCCGCCCGCGGCGGCAGCCAACCAGCACCGCCCGTCGACTTCTTTCTCGCCTCTTCTTTTCCTCCTCTCTCTCTTCCTTTCTTCTCCTCTTCTCTTCCTCTTCCTTCACCTTTTCGCCATCCTCATTTCTTCGCTTCCTCCACCTCTTTTTCCCTTCTTACGTCCTCCCTTCTTCCCCCTCTTCTCTCTCCCTCTCTTCCTCTTCCTTTCCCTCTTCCTCTTCTTTTCCTCTTCTCCCTCCCGACCCTCCTCTCCCATTCTTCCCTCCCCTCTCTTCTTCATTCCCACCCCCGCTCGCCGAAAAACCCCTCTGATTGTCTTTTCCTGTCCCCCTCTTCGCCCACCAATCGATCCTGGTTTCCCCTCCCAGGCCCTTGGACTACTGTTTGTCATCTCCACATCATCGTCATCTTTCTCTCCGCCCGTTCAACCCTGGTCTTCTCACTCGGTAAGTCGTTCATGTCGTTCATGCACCGTGATGATCCCTCCGCCCTGTCGCATCTGTCATTCCTCATCTGCCATGGCCTTTTGAGTCGGTTATTGCGACGCCTTCATCTGTCCTCCCAGTTTTTCTTTGAATTCAATAAAGAACACAACCAGCGATAAGCTTTAGATTCTGCTTCTGCCCGTCTTGCGCAGGGTCGCTGACTGATTCTTGAAGGAGACTTACCGAATCCCCAACTCGCCTAATCATCAACACCACTTATCCGTTCTACCTCAACACCCGAAACTATGGACTCCTCCGATCTTCACGATACCACCATCGTCGACGAGACCTTGACTGATGCTATGATTGACGACGTTGACCTCGAAATCACCCCCAAGACCGAAGAGGAATACGCCCAGTCTACCTTGACCCTCCGCGCGATCGTCTCGTCGAAAGAGGCCGGTATCATCATTGGCAAGGCCGGAAAAAACGTTGCCGACCTCCGCGATGAAACTGGCGTGAAGGCTGGTGTCAGCAAAGTGGTCCCCGGTGTTCACGATCGGGTCCTGACCGTGACCGGTCCTCTGCACGGTACCGCAAGGGCCTATGCACTGGTGGCCAAGGGTTTACTCGAGGGTGCTCCGCAGATGGGAATGGGTGGTCTTGTGCAGAACAACGGAACTCACCGTGAGTGCGCCCAGTTTTGGTTCATGTTGAGACATAAATTAACTAACACTTCTTTAGCCGTTCGTCTACTAATCTCCCACAACCAAATGGGCACCATCATTGGACGGCAAGGCCTGAAGATCAAGCATATTCAGGATGCCTCGGGTGTTCGCATGGTCGCTCAGAAGGAAATGCTCCCCCAGTCTACCGAACGTATCGTCGAAGTCTCCGGAACACCCGAAGGCATCGAGAAGGCCGTTTGGGAGATCGGCAAGTGCCTGATTGACGACTGGCAACGCGGAACCGGCACCATTCTGTACAACCCCGCTGTCCGTGCGTCCGTCAGCTCCGGTCCGGTGAGCAACAACGGCGCCCCCGCCAGCAGCACCACCTCCTCCACCGGCAATGGTTATAGCAGCCGTCCCTACAACCGCACCGGCAACGGCGCCGACTTCAGCGACCAGAGCGGCGGCTACAGCCGACGATCTAACCCCGACATTTCCAACCGCGGCTATCCTCTTGTCACCGAAGACGGCGAAGAGATCCAGACGCAGAACATCAGCATCCCCGCCGACATGGTTGGATGCATCATCGGTCGCGGCGGTACCAAGATCACCGAGATCCGCCGAAGCTCCGGAGCTAGGATCTCGATTGCTAAGGCGCCGCACGACGAGACGGGTGAACGCATGTTCACGATCATGGGCAGCGCTCAGGCAAACGAGAAGGCTCTCTATCTCTTGTACGAAAACCTCGAAGCCGAGAAGACCCGTCGCAGCCAGCTGCCTCAAGAATGATTGCATTCATTGGCCTAAGGTCTTCCAAGAGGAACGAACCACTGTCACCATGTTTTTCTCTTCCTTTTCCCCCTTCTAATTATTCTGCTTCTTGATGTTGTCTTCTTTTTTCTCCCTTCATCTTTCGTCCTTTCCTTTCCTAATTTATCCCGGTTGTGCAGCTTCTTTGGTCTACAAGAAGCAAAGAGTTTGCCTTGGCGGACTTGTACATGCCTGTTAGATACCAGTACCTTGCAACCCTCCGCGGCCGTCTTGCTTGAATGAAACCGACCAATGAGCCATTCTATGTCTCGAAAGTGATGTGTATTGGGAACATCGATGTTACTATCTTCTTTCTAGGAGGGTCAAAACGTTTGAATGTTTTCCTTCTGTCGCTTGAAAAACAAAAAATTGCTTCCGTCTCCTATTCCTCATGTCCTTTCTACTCTCCCGTTATTCACCTCGGTGCTGAATCTTCCTCGATCCTTGATACCTGGCAATCATTATCTTATTCCCAAATCCTTTGCTTCCTTTTTTCCCGCGCAGTTCTTTCTCCGCCTCCTTTTTACGTGAACCATTTAACCCGTGACCTACTTGACACGGTTGTTATTTCTCTATCTCCTTGACTGCGTCTTTCTCCGAATCTCATGCGACGTGTACATCCTTTAACTCGAAGAGCCATAACGATTGCACCATTTGAAAAGATAACAAAAACAACTGTTCATCGGTTTCATTTTCCTGTCTATCTTCGT